CCTTACACACGCAGCCAAGGCGGGGCCATCATTGCTGGAGTTTCCTGTAAAGAAGCAAAATGAGAAGCTGAAGCGCGAGTGTGATTGGTGCTCAGTGATTCTGGAGGGACGTGGTGACTGTTGACAACACAACTTCTCTGGACCCAAGACTCTACATTCTTCAGAGTAGGGGTGAAGGCACAGTCAGCGACCAGACAAGGAGTCGTGAAGAGACAGCGGGGAGCCCTGCTGGGGCTTCTGTGGGTGCAGGTTTGCTGTGAGTGGGGGCGTCCCAGACGGGGGCTGGGGAGGTTCACAGCCTGCAGTGGAGGGGGAGCTGGCACAGAGCTCCTGCAGGGTCTACACCCTCAGCGGGTGTTCCCGGGAATACTTTATGGGTTTGAAAACTGCCTCAGTGGCTCTGCAGTGACTTCTTTTGTGTTTGGTTTTGTCTTTCCAAGCAGGGGTGAGAGGGATGGATGTGGAGCAGACACCTGCAGCCCTGAGCCTCCAGGAGGGAGCCAGCTCTACCCTGAGGTGCAATTTTTCCAGCTCGGTGACCTACGTGCAGTGGTTCCGACAGAACCCCGGGGGCGGCGGCCTCACCCGGCTTTTTTACATCGCTTCAGGGATGAAGCAGGATGGGAGGTTGAACTGCACGGTGAACACGAAGGACCGGCACAGCAGCCTGCACATCAGGGCCTCCCAGCAGGAAGACTCAGCCACCTATCTGTGTGCGGTGCAGGCACAGTGCTCCCTGCTGCTCTGCAGCCTGTCCCCAAACTGAAGCTGGGCTCCCAGCCCAGCCTCCTCCACCAGGAAGCCTTCCTGTCTCAGTTTCATTTGCACAGCCTTATGTTTCGTTATTCATTTCGTCAGTCTTTTAATTCTGTCTATAATTATAAACTTATAATGCTAACATGGAGCTCTTAGAGATGCTAAACACAGTGGCAAGGTTCAAAGTCACGTTTAAGTAAACAGTGGAAATGTCCAACTCAGGGTCAAAGCTAGAGCTTCAATGAGCAGAGACTAAATAGGTTACTATGGCGTGAAGCCCACACGTTACGTGTTGCTGCTACAACTCACCTGTTAATGTGAACACGTAGCTCAGCTTTTAGGAAGGGTAACAAAGTGCCTGGTCTTACTTGGTCATGCTTGTATTTATGACTTTTAGTGCCTAGAGGTCCCGAATAACAAATATAATAGCAAAGCAGCTAATGTTTAGGGAACATTATGTGCAATGAGCACCTCACAAACACCTTTATTACCATGTCACCTCCATAACACCTTATGATGCGGGTACTGTGTTGTCCCCACCCCCACAGTTTTACAACGAGGGTAAGAAGCTTAAAAAGTAAAAAGGTAAATGACTTCGAAAGGCAAGTTGCTAATTGGCCGACCCACTATTGGAAGAGAAGCAATGTGACTTCATCCCACGTTCTTTTTTTAAATGTTTAGTTATTTATTTTGAGAGAGACAGAGAGAGAGCGAACATGAGTGGGAGAGGGGCAGGGAGAGGGAGAGGGAGAGAGAGAATCCCAAGCAGCCTCCACACTGTCAGTGAGGAGAGGAGCCTGATGTGGGGCTCAGTCCCACGAACTGCAAGATCATGACCTGAGCCGAAATCAAGAGTGTGACGCTTAACCGACCCAGCCACCCAGGCGCCCCTCAGATCCCATGTTCTTTTTTTTTTCAGATCCCATGTTCTCAATCCCTACATTCTTACTACCTTTTCAAGAACCTGTAAATCAAATTATTTAATATGATTTTAATATTATTTAATATTGAATTATTAATATCGATAAATATGCAGAATGTTTTCATACATGTCAATGAATAAAGAAGCATATTTTGACAATTTCTAATTAGTGACATCTAAGGTAAAGTTAGTTGTTGAGGTCCTCTATGAAGTGATGACTCCCCTATTGTTATCTGTTCTACAAAAGCACCCACTGCCATTTCCAGCAAGTCTCAGTGACCCAGGCAGCAAAAGCCAGTAGACAAATGAGACCAGACTCATGCCATGAGTAAACCTTGGCCCTATCAGCCATCGGGAATCTGCTTTCTCCCAAGAGAGAAGTAGTCAAAATTATTTCATTTGGAGTTCATTCAAACATACATTCACTCTGGATGCCCAGGTGGCTCAGTCGGTTAAGCATCTGACTTCAGTCTGGGTCATAATCTCGCTGTTCCCTAGTTTGAGCCCCACATTGGGCTCTGTGTTGACAGCTCGGAGCCTGGAGCCTGTTTCAGATTCTGTGTCTCCTTCTCGCTCTCTGCCCCTTCCCCACTCATGCTCTGTCTCTCTCAAAAATAAATACACATTAAAAAAATTTTTAAAAAGCACAAAAATCATACATTCACCCAACAAGTATTTATTCTGTAGCATGATGTGACAAGCACTCATGTGGAGGTTGAAGATATCTGATTCCACATTACAGACAAGCCTCCCATACATATGGAATTTTTATTGTACAATGGGGAGATAGGGCAAGGAAACAATTGAACAAATGACTTCAAAATATAAGTGATATTAAGAAAATAAAATGTGAAGGAGAATCGCAGTGGTCATGGAGCTTTCTGGAGTGGTGGTGACATTTGAACTGAACCTTCAGTAATGAAAATGACAAAACACAAGGTGTTAATACCTGGGGTAAGGAAGAGTTTTCAAATGCAACAGTCGCCATTAGGCAGAAGCAAATTTGGTATATTTGTGAAAGAAGGCTGATGTTCCCAGAAGGCAGTGAGAAGGAGAGTGGTGGGTGATGTGTCAAAGAGGGAGTTAGGGGTCCAGTCATATGTGGCCTTATACCATTATGGTTAGGTTCACATATTATTTTATACGTAATGGGAAGCATTTGAAAGGTTTTATTTTATTTTTAAAAATTTTTAAACATTTATTTATTTTTTGAGAGACACAGAGAGACAGAGTACAAGTAGGGGAGGGGCAGAGAGAGGGAGACACAGATTCTGAATCAGGCTCCAGGCTCTGAGCTGTCAGCACAGAGCCTGACATGGGGCTCCGACTCATGAACCTTGAGATCATGATCTGAGCTGAAGTCGAACTAAACCACCCAGGCACCCCTGAAGGGTTTTAAATAGGTGTTCTAATTTATATTTCAGAAGGATCACAGTCCATGCTCTGAGGAACGGCTCATGGGGAAGCGTGTGGCAAGACTATGGCACAAAGACAAAAAGAGCTTCCAAGACCCATGAAACCTGGTGGAGGCCAAGTTTTGGGAGGGGTCCTATAATATAGTCACATTTTCTTTATGTGAAGATTTCAAAAGGAAGTTATTTTAGTAGCAATTGGTTAAAACCAATTTCCCATGCTAACTACCCTTATATCAGGCCTTCCCTTGTTTTAGGTGGTGTTGGAGTGGCTTCAGACATTTTTGGGACTCTGGCTAAGGTGAGATGGAGTTGAGGACACATTTAGTTTACATTAGGTGAGATATATTTATGTGATTTGTAGTGATTTCTGTGTAGAGTTAAGTTTCTGCTAATCATTCCTAGTGTAAGAATTGCTTTCAGGAATATTTCTTCTGCCTACTGTGTCCACTCTCCAAGCATTAAGACGTGAAATGGCACAAAAGTGGCTTGGACATGGGCTATGGCCCTCAGTACTTAAGTATGTGGGTAGAAGAAGAGAATCAAGGTTTGAAATACACAGAGATGTACATTGTAACTTGCCTGTTCTAGGTACCTCCTGTAAGTGGAAGGAAGCCTACAATAATTATCCTTTTGTGTCTGGTTTATTTCACTGCAGCCTGTCTTCCAGGTTCATCCATGTTGTAGCATGTGTCAGAATTTCATTCCTTTTTAAGCCTCAGTAATATTCCATTACATAGGTATACCACATTTTTTTATCCATTTGTCAGTTGATAGGCATTTGGGTCATTTCTGCTATTGGGCTATTATGAATAACGCTGTTATGAACATTTGTGTACAAGTTTGTAAAAATATGATTTTTAATCAGAGCCTTGAAGAATAAGAAACAATTAGGCAAAGCTAGTTAATTCATGGGAGTGAGGATCTGGAGTATAAGAAAAGATAGGAGAAGTAGTCTGGGGCCAGACTGTGCAGGTCCTTCCTTATAAGGAGTGTAGATTTTATTCTAAGTGTAATGTCAAAGCCATTGACTGAATAAAAGCTCCATAATGACATGATCTAATTAGTGTTTTAGTGCTGTCACTCTTGCTGCTACGGAGGGAATGGGTTGTAGAGAGCAAAAACAGAAAGGAGACTACTGAGAAGACTATTGCAGTGGTTCGGGTGAGGGGGGTAATAGCCTGGATTAAGGTTATGGTGGTGAGTATTGGAATTTGTGACTGCATTCAAGATGTATTTATCAAGGGGCACCTGGGTGGCGTAGTTGGTTGAGCATCTGACTCTTGACCTCGGCCCAGGTCATGATCTCATGCTTCACTGGGCTCTGCTCTGATGGTGCAGAGTGTGCTTGGGATTCTGTCTCTCCTTCTCTCTGCCCCTCTCGGGCTTGTGCACACGTGCTCTCTCTCAAATAAATAAAAGCTTAAAAAAAAAAAGATGTATTTGCCAAATGTTGCCAGAGGGGTGGTGGGTGAGGAAGGGGCAACATGGCAGAAGGGTAGTGGGAGATACAGGATTCCAGTTATGGAATGAGTAAGTCACGGGAATAAAACATGGCACAATGAATATGTCAATGATACTGTAGTAGAGTTACATGGTGACAGAGGGACCTACAGTTGTGGTGAGTGCAGCATAATGCTTAAACTTGCCAAATCACTATGTTGTACACCTGCAACTAATGTAAGATTGTGTGTCAACTACACACAAATAAAAACAGTTAATAAAGAAGATGTATTTATTTCTTCCATCAGGTTTTTTAAAAAATTGAGATATAATTGACATATAGCATTGTGTAAGTTTAAGATGGACAAGAGTTTGGTTTGATATGTTTATATATTGCAGTGTGATTACCACCATGTCATGTCATGTATCATTTCTTTTTCTATGGTGAGAACAATGAAGATCTAGTCTCTTAGCAATTTTGAAGTTAATCATACTGTGTTTTTTATTATAATCACCGTGCTGTGCATTAGATCTCCATGACTTACGTATCTTCTAGTTCTAAGTTTGTACCCTTAAACAATCTCTCCCTAGGCCCCAGCTCCTGATAAGCACCATTCAACTGTCTTTTTATGAGTTTGGTTTTTTAAGATTCTACATATAAGTGATATTATACAGCATTTGTCTTTCTCTGTCTGACATATTGCACTTGGCATAATGCTTCAGGGTCCATCCATGTAGTAAATGGCAAGCTGCCCTTCCATCTCGTGAGTGAATGATATTCCATTATATAATATACACCACATCTTCCTTATGTGTTTATATGTTGACATGTGTCTGATTTCCAGTAGACTAAGCCTGTTGAAAAAACGTGGAAAATATGTAACTTCTTCAAATTTATTTAAAATGACTCTATGCTGTGCTGAGATGAGACGGAATTCTGAAATCTACATTTACACTACGTTTTCTTTCTGTGAATCCAGTAACTTCTGACTGGAGACACACTAAGAACTTAATTTATTCAACCTATTGTTGAATTGTTGAATTGTGTCAGTCTCCCATAGATACAGGATGAGAGGATTTGACCAGCTGGTTTAGCAGATGGGGACCCGACCACAAGATGGCAGAGCATCTCTGCTAATGTAGATATGTGAAAGGGTCCTTTTGGTTGACTCTGTAAGAGTTGGCTACAGACAGAAGCAGATGCCTGTGTAGACAGTTTAAGAAACCACTGTG